TGTGTGGTTTGCAACAGGGATGGCTTTTTCTTTGGCCTCGCACATACCTGCACGGTTGGATAGGCACCTTTGGCTTTGCAGATTCGCTGCTGGGTTTCTTTTCTTGATTACAGAGAAATTCTTATGTTTCTCCTCTGCTGGTTTAATATGTAAATAATCATTAGTGAAAAAAGTTCTATTTTTTTCAAAATCACCGGAGTGTTTGTTAACAGTGCAGTGTTGATAGTCCTGCAGATAGAAGGATAGTTCTTGTCCATCCAGTACAGGAACGTTACCTGTACAAGCAGATAGAAGGATAGTTCTTGTCCATCTAGTACAGGAACGTTACCTGTAGAATGCACTGAGTGGTCGGTGAAGATAGGGCTGGGGGAGGCAAGCTCACAGCCCCACTTCCAATCCCACCCCTTCTCCTGAGGCCCCCACAGCTAAAGAAGTCTCTTTTAAGTGTTAGAGGCTCTGCATGGGTGGTCGGCAAAGGTAGGGCTGGGGGAAGCAAGCTCACAGCCCCACCTCCAATCCTGCCCCTTCTCCTGAGGCCCTGCCCTCACCATAGGGTGGGGAGGAGGATGGGTGTGCATGCTCCAACCTCCCCAACCCTGGAGCACAGGGAGGGCGAGCGATGGGGGCAGCAACAGTCCGCCCACAGAATGCCTGCAGTAGGCATTCTAGGGGCTGGGAATGGATGGAGCCAGGCTGGTCGTTTGGAAAGGCAGTGCTTTCTCCCACCTAGCATACCAGCTACCCATGAGGCTCAGTTTTGGGTGCTGATTAGTCCTGGGCTTTATCCCAGTGACCATGACAGAGTGGCTGAAATGGAGTTGCTAAGGGAGACAGAGGCAGATAGAAGAGACTTTCCAGGGCACATTAGTGCAGTCCTACACCCAGTCTGACAGCTTCACTGCTGTGTAGGAGGATGAAAGTCTCAGGGAAGTAGAACATCAAGCTGGAGCAAAGGGAAATGATTCCATAGTTGGAACCCTCCTGCCATATAATGTCATGGTATCCTTGCACAGAGGATACCATGGGGGGCAAGTATTGGAAAACGACAGTAATAATAGTGGGGAATTTTGTTCTTAGAGATAGAGATAGATCAGGTGTGGTCAGTGGAGAACCGCATGGTGACTTGCCACTCAACAAAGGAGGAGATAAAGGAAAGGAGAAGACTGAGAGAGGACATGAGAACAGTTTTCAGATATCTAAAAGGGAGTCAACAAGGAAGAGGGAGAAAAATTGTTTTCCTTAGCCTCTGATGATAGGACAAAAAGAACAAACTTAAACTGCAGCAAGGGAGGTTTAGGTTGGACATTAGGAAAAACTTCCTAGCTGTCAGGGTGGTGAAACACTGGAATAAGTTGCCTAGGGAGGTTGTGGAATCTCCATCTCTGCAGATATTTAAGAGCAGGTTAGACAGATACACCTGTCAGGGATGGTCTAGATGGTGCTGGGTCCTGCCATGAGGGCAGTGGACTGGACTCGATGACCTCTCAAGGTCCCTTCCAGTTCTACAGTTCTATGATCCAGTTCTACAGTTCTAAGGCGCACTCAAGGCAGACGAGCCAGTTCTACAGTTCTATGATTCTATAAAGGCGCACTCAAGGCAGACGAAGCTATTGCAAAGAAGCTAAACGAATTCGTTGTCTGAACCTTTACGACTGAGGAAGTGGGGGAGATTCCCACACCTGAGCCATTCTTTTTAGGTGACAAATCTGAAGAACTGTCCCAGCTTTGTGATGTCAGTAGAGGAGGTTTTGTATCAAATGGATACATTAAACAAGAAGTCATCCCCAGGGCCAGAGGGTATTGACTCAAGAGTTCTGAAGGAACTCAAATGTGAAATTACCCAAGGGTGGCAGGTAACCTATCACGTAAATGAACCTTGGTGAATCAGATGACTTCAGGAGAGCTGATGTAAAACCGATATTTTTAGAAAAAGGCTGTAGAGGTGATCCTGGCAATATACAGGCCGGTCAGCCTAACTTCAGTCCTAGGCAAATTGGTTGAAATGGTAGTAAAGAACAGAATGATCAAACACGTCAACGAGCTTGATGTGTTGGGAAAGACATGGCTTTTGTAAAGTTAAAACACACCTCACCAATGCACGCCTGGGGCTTAACCCCTTCCTGCCCATGCTGGAGCCAGGGGACAGGAGATGGCTGGGTTAGTTGGTGACCAGCAGCAACCTGGAGGTGTTCATTGCCTTTTGACATTGTGTGGGCAGGATGGGACAAGCTGTTTCCAGCCATGGTGGCCTATCAGTGTGGGGGAGGAGTAGAAGATGGGATGAGCTCTGCAAAGACATAGGCCAGGTCATCTTTTCCACACCCCTCCTCATCCCCTGAGGCTGGAAGCAGCCCCCATCCCTTCCCTCCTGCGCAGCGCCAAAAGGCTGCTGCTGGCCACTTTGGCTTTGAACCCTGCCAGAAATCTGTGGAGAGGCACGTGACTTTGCATGCCCCTCACACATTGTCTCCGGAAGACATGGGCAGGTCCATCTTGGGAGCCCAGCCAGGCATGGAAGGCAGAGAGTGCCATGCAGGGGGGGTCAGGTTGGTTGGTTACCCTCCCAGTCTGAGAGAAGGGCATGTTTGTTGTGGGTGACCTCTCCCTGTGTAAACCCAAAAGCCGTGAAGAGAAGGTAAATACAAAGAATCCAACTACACAGCATTTCTTTACAAGAGGGGCTCATCCAGCTTGTTGTTAATTTGAACGTTTCTACTGAGTCGTTCTGACCACACAGCATTTCTTTACAAGAGGGGCTCAACCAGCTTGTTGTTAATTTTAACATTTGTACTGAGTCGTTCTGACTGGTAGCTGTTGAGCTCACTCGAATATGAGTAATTTTACCAAGTGTTCCGTAATCCGCATAGGGAAATATGATGGCCCTTCTGTGATAGACAGGAGATCGGCCCTCTTGATCTAATGGTCCCTGCTGGCCTTGCCCTGTATCAGATCTATGACGCTGTTAATGGTTTTATTAATTATCATCCCTCTGGTGGGGATTTTTTAGTTATTGATCCTGCTACTTTGGTTTCTTGCAGCCCGGCAAGTGGCAATCACCAAGCACCTGCAGGATGTGGAGATAGAGGAGGACAACAGCGCTGTCTTCTCCTGTGAGCTGTCCCATGAGGATGAGGAGGTGGAATGGCTACTGAATGACACCGTCCTCTACTCCGACAGCTGCAATGAGATCAAGAAGATCGGCAGGTGCCATACTCTGACCCTGAAACAAGTCACGCCCGACGATGCAGGAACGGTGACAGTCAAGACGTTGAAGGTGTCGGAAAGCGCTCAGCTGAAAGTGAAAGGTAGGTAATGGCCCCAATCCTGTGGCATCATTTAACAATGGAAATAAGAAATAGAGAAAAACGTTATTTAGTTGTCCCATCTATTCCCTGACAGTTCAGTGTAGCTCCCGATAGGCCTTCTCCATCTAGCATTTGAGTTAATTCACATGGATTCTACCACTTGCGTTAGGTGTGAATGTCTTAGTCCAGCTGAAGTTATCAGTAGGAAATTTGACCTAATATCATGCTAAATATTTCCTTTGTTCAGCATTATCCCATTACTTCTCATTGTTGCTACCTGGAGAGTTCTTTTCTCTATTTAATGTTACCACCTTTCAAAAATCTGTAGGTCCCAGTCTACATTAGACAAGTCCACACAGTGGGAGGCTGATGGGAACAATTGCTCCTTTTGGCATCCCTTACTCCTTGCAGAATAAGGAGTATTGGACACTGGCAGGAGCTGCCTTCCGTGCTCGATTTAGGGGGTCTATACCAGACCCTCTAAATTGAATGCCAAAAGATCAACCTCTAGTGCATCGATCTTCAGTAAGTATAGACGTGCCTTAAATGATTTTCTTGTGTTGGCCTTTGATTAGTTTAGCTAAACTCCGCAGCTGAGTTGCCGCACAGCGGACCACATCTTCTTTTTAATAAATCTGCTCTGGAATTAGACTGTTCCAACAGCAAGGACACATTTTGTCATGGTTTTGGATATACTGATGGCAAGGAGACAATAGAGGGAGAAGCTGGAGCTGATGTTCTTTGAGATTTATTTTGCACTTCCCTTCAAAAAGTCCAAGAGATTTGCTCCCCTGTCATATCCCCTTCAAAGACCCTGAGGAATTTATTCCCCCCATCCCCACAAAGATGCTGAAGGGTTTGCTTCCCTATCCCCTCACTGTCTGTCAGACATGGTTCTGTTTTTCTAGACACAAAGAGCAAACATGCACTTGTAGTTCAGACGTGTTTTAAATTAGATTAAGGAAAATAACAAGGTGCTGGAGGCGGGAGCTAGAATCTCTATAAGAGAGAGCACAGTGTGTTTCTGTCCTGCTGCTAACATGCTGCATGAATTGTACAGTGATATGCAGTCTTCTCAGCGGGGAGTGGGGAAAGGGTGGAACAATAAAGCCACCTTCCTTTCTCCAAGGCTTGTTTTATTTCTAAAACACAAACTCGGAGGCTGTGTCTAGACTACACCTCTTTGTCAACAGAGAGATGTAGATTAGGCACGTTGAAATTGCTAATGAAGCAGGGATTTAAATATCCTGTGCTTCATTAGCATAAACATGGCTGCCGCTTTTTTCGAAATGGAGCTTTTAAAAAAAAACGTAAGTTTTTTGAAATGGAGCTTTTTAAAAAAAAACGGAAGTCTAGGCGCAGATCTTTTGAAAAATAAACCCTTTTTCAAAAGATCCTGTAAACTTCAAAAAATGAGGATTTATTTTTCGAAAGATCCGCATCTGGACTGCCTTTTTTTTCTGAAAAAACTCCGTTTTGAAAAAAGCGGCAGCTATGTTTATGCTAATGAAGTGCGGGATATTTAAATCCCCGCTTCATTAGCAATTTTGACGTGCCTGATCTACATCTCTCTGTCGACAGAGAGATGTAGTCTAGATGTACCCAAAATGAGACCCAATCAACTCACACGAGGGGCTATTAATTACCTGAACCCTTTCCAGCTTTAGCCAGCTGGAAAGGGGCACACCCTTCCCTTGTGTTGGTACTATATTAGGGCTTTCCTGTTGGCTACCCCTGCTTTATAGTTGACTTCCTGTAGGAAATTACATAGTTGCTCCAAGTCATGTTACCTAAAGCTTCCAGTTTTAAAGGGCCCAAGGGCCACAACAGATCCATTGGGATGTACACACGTGCCCCGGTTATAAACTCTGTACTGTAATGAGACATAGGAGTCATAATAACCACACTACACTATTAGCAGCAAGAAGATTCCATGGGACCTTGGTACCCGCAAATAACTCCCCATGGCATGCAGCCACGTAATAACCACACTACACTATTAGCAGCATGAAGATTCCATGGGACCCTGATACCCGCAAATAAATCCCCGTGGCATGCAGCCACTCATCTCTACACAAATGCTCCCCCGGAAAGGGTTATTAACAGGTGCTGGTCCCCCTTCCTCCAGAATAAATTCTAGGGACATGTGGTGTGAGAGGGCCTTAGATTCCATATTTATATTCTCACGGCTGCTCCCCCTTCCTCCAGAATAAATTCTAGGGACGTGTAGTGTGAGAGGGCCTTAGAGTCCATATTTATAGTCTCACGGCTGTACTGAGCACGACAATGGTTTGATGAAGCCTCCTTCAGTCTAGTGGAATGGACAGAAAGTTGCTAAGTCTGAATGTCCTGTTTTTTCCCTTTCCCTCCCTCTATTAATTTCCTTCAGAGAAACCCATCATCTTTATGAAGTCCCTGGATGATGCTGTCGGGGAGGAACGTGGTGTGATCACGCTGCAATGTGAGGTCTCCAAACCAAAGGTTAAACCCATCTGGAGAAAGGACAATGTGGAGGTCACCCTGGGCGACAAGTATGAACAGATGCAAGCTGGGAAAACACTGTGTCTCATTGTGCACGATCTGAACAAGAATGATGCCGGGTTATACACATGTGATATTGGCACTGATCTTGTCAAGGCACAAGTCAGCGTGCAGGGTAGGTGTAGCTGAAAATGATGGGGTTTCTTTAAATAGTGCTATGAATGAGTGCTGCATGCCTCTTTGAGTCCCACATACTCCTTAATGAGGTACAGTGGTCTCCATTATAAAATCAATATGTACCAGTAGTTACCAAATGACACAATTGATGTGTCTGCAATCACCGGTATTCTCTATTCTAAGCATAGATAAAAACCATGACATCTCAAATAGCATTTAGTGGCAGACATTTTAGACATGCAAGTTTATCAAGAACTTTATTTGCTCATTTTCTTCCTAGATAAGGCATATTTTATAGCTAACTTTCATAAGATGGCCAATGATTTCCCTTCATTTATCATTTGATTTTCCCCTCATTGATCCTTTCCCCCATATTTATCATTGATTTATAAGGCATGTGGTATAGGAGAGGTGCAAATTGCTGTACACTGTTCTGCTGGGTTCAGCTATTAACTGGGCTGAGCTGAGGAGCAAGTCTTCCCAAACTTTCTGTGGTTAATAAAAATGATGCACCAAAATACAAATAAATGCCTTAGTAAAATATTTATAGTGCATATGAACTCAAAGAGAAGAAATGCGGGTTTCTTTAAAGAAAATAACTTGAAGTTTAACATATTTTAGATGTTAACTTAGAGTCTGTTCTGGGGGAAAAAAACAAACTTATGAAATCCATTTGAAAACTGTTTGTCAGTCCTTGTGAGACAGATCTGGAGCGGTCTCAGGCAGGTGACAAAATGGCGCACAGCTACTAACATCCCATTTGTCAGAGCCAAAGTGAGTTGAGACCTGCATTTCAAATACAGCTGTAGAAGCATCCTCATTGCCCCTCTTTTCTCCAGCTTTCCTGGAATCGTGATTCCCCTGAGCATGCTCATTCTAGTGACAGCTGGCCAAGCATCTGACAAGTCCCTTTCCCAGGCCCACAGGTCAGTGTGTGGGGTGGGGGGGTGGGGGGGGAGGAGTTACACTTGGTATTTCGAGTAGTTCTTCCACAATACTGAATATGCTAATGAAGATTTTGCCTAACCCTTCAGCTAGCAAGTGTTCAGTATTGTTCTTCATGTGGATTTTAAGTCTCTCTTTATATGTGAGTTGTCCTCTCAGGCCTCTAACTGTTGTACAAATTAGTAAATTGCCACTTTTCTCCAATCCTAAATACTTTTGTCACCCGCCTCCTTGCCTTCCAGAGTTGAACATCGGTATCACTAAACGCCTGAAGAACGCTGAAGTCCAAGAAGGGGAGAACTGTACTTTTGAGTGCATTTTGTCCCATGAGAGCATCGGTGATTTCCACTGGATGCTGAAGGGGAATGAAGTGCACAGTGATGGGCGATTTAAGGCCTTTAACCAAGGGCGGAAATATACTCTCAGCATCAGAAACGTGACAGCTGCGGATGCTGGAGACGTTGTCTTTGCTGCACGCAACTTAAGTTCCAAGGCCTCGCTGGTTGTGAAAGGTAATAAGTACAGAGGTGCTTCAGAGATGGAACAACTTCAAAACACAGCTTATGTCAGTAAATTGTAAAGGCAAAACCCTTATCTCATTGAAGTAACAATGGCAACTTTCCCATTGAACTCAATAGGGCGAGGAATTGGACTTAAAAAAACAATTGAAACATTGAAAACATTTTATACTTGTCTAAATGTTTTAAAATAAATGTGTGTGGGGAGGGAGAGAATATTTAAAGTGGCCTCATTTCTGCCTATTGTACTATTAATTACAGCCCAGAAATTACAGGTACAAATAATTGCAGCAGCAAATGTCATTAGATGAATAGCCTCTTAGTTTGCACCCCCAGTAACATCATCCATAATTAAGTATGAATGCAAAATAGCAGCCACCAGTGTGAATGTCTTTTTCGCAGATCAGTATCATTCTGTCTTTTTTATAAGCGATTAATTGCCAGTTCTCAATTCCTGCTCACTTACAACCAATAAATATGATTAATGCCCACTAAACTTGAACACTTCCTTTTTCTCCACCGGAAGGTAACTCAGTAATGTAATGTGAGTTATCTATTCTTATGTGATTCTTTATTAGATGATTGTTTAGATATAAAGAAGCCTAATTCTTTAAAAAAAAGATAATCTATAGGTAGCAGGTTTAAACAAACAAAAGGAAGATTTTCTTCACATAGCACGCAATCAACCTGTGGAACTCCTTGCCAGAGGATGTTGTGATTAACAGGACTTTAACAGGATTCAGAAAAGAACTACATAAATTCATGGAAGATAGGTCCATCAATGGCTATTAGCCAGGCTGGGTAGGAATGGTGTCTCTAGGCTCTGATTGCCAGAGGCTGGAAATGGATGATAGGAGAAGGGTCCACTTGATGATTCCCCGTTCTGTTCATTCCCTTTGGGGCATCTGGTATTGGCCACTGTCGGCGAGAACACTGGGCTAGATGAACCTTTGGTCTGACCCAGTGTTGCTGTTCTGATGTCCTCATAAAGATTCAGAATGTGGATTTTTAACAGGAATTGTTGCTTCCCTTAGAAAAACCAGGAGAGATTGTAAAGCACCTGGAGGATAAGACAGCAACAGCAGGACAAGATGTAAACCTGCGCTGTGAAATGTCCAAACCTGACAAAAACGTGAAGTGGTACAAGGATGGCAAAGCGATCCGGAAAAGCCAAAAATACGACTTGCGCCAAGAGGGATCATGGGCCATGCTCGTCATTCATGATGCCACAACCAAGGACACTGGGGAATACACATGTGAGACAGAGACCTCTAAAACAAAAGCATCACTGACAGTGGAAGGTCAGTGGATACACCACTTGGGAGCCTGAAAGCACAGAGTGGGGCAAAAAACTGCAAAACTTTTGAAGCCATTTTATTCCCCCGGCTTTTGTAATGGACCAATACTTTTGTTTTTCCAAATGTTGAACAGATCCTTTTATTAGTATTTTCTGAAAAAGAAACATCTCCGTATTTTGAAAAACCTTTGTGTGTGATGTAACTGGCCAGTTTACATGGGCAGTAGCAAGGGGAAACCCCCAAACAATCAGGCTGTGTCTACACTGGGCCACTTATTCCGGAAAATCAGCCGCTTTTCCGGAATAAGCTGCGAGCTGTCTACACTGGCCCTTGAATTTCCGGAAAAGCAACGATGCTCTACTGTACAAAATCAGCCGCTATTTCGGAAAAACTATTCTGCTCCCGCTCGGGCATAAGTCCTTATTCCGGAACACTGTTCCGGAAAAGGGCCAGTGTAGACAGCCCAGTAGTCTTTTCCGGAAAAAAGCCCCGATCGCGAAAATGGCGATCAGGGCTCTTTTCCAGAAAAGCGCGTCTACATTGGCCACAGACGCTTTTCCGGAAAAAGGGCTTTTCTGGAAAAGCAGCCTGCCAGTGTAGACGCTCCTTTTCCGGAAAAACTGAAAACGGAATAGTATTCCGTTTTAAGCATTTCCGGAAATTCATGCCAGTGTAGACACAACCTCAGTGAAAATGATGTCAATGAAAAACTGACCTTTATTAATGTTAATTGTATCATAAATAAGCATACAGTTAGACAATGTTCTGTGCCTAAAGGAGTTTAGTGTTGAGAGGGGGGTTTCAAAGAACCATAAGCATACAGTTAGACAATGTTCTGTGCCTAAAGGAGTCTAGTGTTTAGAGGGGGGTTTCAAAGAAACTAGCTTGGTCCCCATCTCTACCACTAAACCTCTTTGTGATTCAGTTTCCCCATCTTTACAATGGAAATAATAACACTAGTCCACTATTATTTATAAATGTATTTACTTCATGTTTATATTTGTGTCACATACAGGGTCACAACTATTACCCAGGCACAGTATAGATCTATAATAAATGTCGGTTCTTTCCACAAAGAGTTTAGAGATTAAAAACCAAAATGCATCGCACCTTTCCACCTCTGAATAGCACTTTGAAATTTTGAATAAGTGCCAAGTATTAGTACTAATGATTATAATTTGTCAAGTTCTGACAACATGTACAGTGCTGTATGATTTCAAAATTATCAAGCCAATTCCACAGCCATCCAAAATTCAGGTCTCAAGAGGTACTTGTGTTCTAATATGTCTGATTTTCAGAGGGGCTTGAAGTCTATGAAAATCAGACCAGCAGTTAGAGTTCAAATGTAGGGCCTGGATTTGTCCCAAAATTCTTTGTACATGTCTCCCTTGCATAGTGAACTAGATCTGTCTGTCTTTGCATTTCTCAGCAGGGAGAGAGAAAATGTCACGCCACGGGATTCAGTGCATTGGCTTTCAATTCTGCATCAGCCACAGACATGCTCGACCAGTGGCCACAGAGAAAGAAACTGATGAAGTTTTGTTTCTCTACCAGGGCCTGATTCTCCACAGCTTTGCACATTCACTTTTCCTTGTGCCCGGTGGGTGTAAAAGTGCTACCCTTCTGATCTGATCTCCCTTTAGACAGCTGCAAATGATCGCAAAGCCATGGAGACCTAGGCCCAGGGTGTTGATGATGTACCTGAGGACTACATTGGGGGTAACCATTGCTTGTCACTTTCCTCAGACAAACCCAATCGCTTTACCCAGGAGCTTTCAGATCTGAAAGCTGATGAAAACGGAGTCGCTGTTTTCATGTGTCAGACTAAGAAGGCCGCCCCCACGGTGGCCTGGCGGAAAGGGATGGTCGAGCTCAGGTCAAGCAAGAAATATGAGATCATCCAGAAAGGGAACGCCCTGCAGCTCACGGTGAATGCCTTGGAGAAAAGCGACAGCGACACCTACACGTGCGATATTGGCGAGGCCCAGACCAGAGCCAAGCTGACTGTGCAAGGTAGGAACGGCTTGAATGCAGGATAAAGAACAGCGTGGCTGTCTGATGCAGGAAGTGCGTGTGTTACAGTAGAGAGCACAACTTACTGGTCGCTAAGCAAGGTTACTTAAGGGGTGCCAACTGGATTACAGCCGAGAGAGGCTCGTGTTTTCAAAAATGGCTAGTGATTTTGGGTTCCTCCATTGGTTGGTGCCCATATTGAGACTCCTCAGTGAGGAGTCCTGTGGCACCTTAGAGACTAACAAATATATTAGGTCATGAGCTTTTGGGGGGGATGGGACACACAGAGACATCCTGGCCTATGGAGAACAGGGAAAGTTGGAGTGGAAATTACAGAATCCAGAGTATGTATAATAGCGAAAGCAGTTATCTATCAATTGTAGGACCAGTGGTAATGAAGCTAATTAAGTCAGGCTGGAGGTGTACCATTTATAGCATTTGATGTGGAAATGTGACTATCAAAGGCAGGTTTTATAGCATTTGATGTGGAAATGTGAATATCAAAGGCAGGAGAACTTGCATTTGTAGTGCATTAACCAGTTAATATCTTTATTCAAGCACAGGTTAATAGTGTCAAACTTGTAAATGAATTCCAGTCCAGCTGTCTCCCTCAGTAACTGAGTGATAAAATTCTTTTGTAGAAGGATGGCTACTTTCAAATCCATGACTGAATGTCCAGGGGAGGTTAAAGTGCCCCCTACAGGTTTATATGTGTTACCATTCCTTATGTCTGATTTGTGTCCATTCATCCTTCGGTGCAGAGACTGTCTGGTTTGGCCATTGTACATGGAAGAGGGGCATTGCTGTCACATGATAGCATATACTACGTTAGTGGATGTGCAAGTGAAATCAGGCCTCTTTAAAGTGACTTGAATGAGGCATCCAAAATCCCTAGTCCCTTCTTAATATTTAGGCCTGAAATGTTGTGGAGGAGATTTAAAAGTGGGTGCTGCCTGTGTGTGATTAGAAGGATTTGTGGAGCTGCGGAGTGTTGGCGGGGTTGTGTGTGAGATTCTACATGGGGTCCCTATGCAAAGGTTACTGGAGTTCTTGGGAAGTAGTAATAGCTGGAGACTCATTCTGCTGCCACTGAAAAAGGCCTGTTTCTCCTGAGCCCTGTGGCAAACCCTCAGCTCAAACCTGTGCACTTTAGCCAGGCATAATGTACCTACTTCTTGGCCCTTCGGTGTGTTTTGTTCAGCCCTTTCAAGGAGCTGAATTAATTTTGTACTCTTACATAATTAGTGTTGAAAGTTGTGTGCACTCATGCTTTAATTGGCAAGGTGAAGGGAGGGCTATTGCCCAATTCAACAGCATTTCTGTGTCTGTTTGTAGTGTGATAGCTTTTCTGGTGGGAATGGGACACACACTGATCTCTTGGCCTATAGAGGGGGAAGAAAATGGGGGAATTTAGGGGGAAGTGGGAAACAGAAAATTCACAGAACCCCTGTGATGGGGACATGGTGGATAGACAGGATGTGGGTTATATGGGTTCTGGTTTAGGGATAGAGCTGGTTGGAATTTTTTCCAATGGAAGGTTTTTCCACCAAAATATGCTGATTTGTCAAGATCCAGATGTTCCACAGGAGTACAATGAAGCAATGAAGTAGGTGACCTTCCAGATGGCTGAAGCAAGGCCTAAAACTCAGGATAATGGCATTCCTCTGTGTCTATGTCAGGAATGCAAGACCACGTCTGATCCAGTCTAACATTTCAGAGCATGTTCTAGGTGCTGCTGGGGAAAGCCCTATTGATTTTGGAGACAATCCAAAACTGAAAACTTAGGAAAATCCCAATTTCCACCCAGTGGTTGTTTTATGCAGAGGAGCATTATGACATCAAAGGTAATTCAAGCAATCATCCCCGCCTTCATCTATTTAATTTGCATGCTTCAATTGTTGTTTTATGCAGAGGAGCATTATGACGTCAAAGGTAATTCAAGCAATCATCTCCGCCTCCATCTAGTTAATTTGCATGCTTCAATCCCATTGGCTGAAATGAAACTGCCGGTCAGGACAGAAGTGCTTGGACACAATTGGAGGGTATGGGGGCTTACGACAGGGGCTATTTGAGATCTGGAGCTATATTGACCAAGGCATGGTAAGACTGGAGATTTGCACTGGGACTCCCTGCACTGTACCTGACACAGGCAAGACTGTATTTTTGCCCTGTCAACATTTTTTTAGTTAATCTAAATGGAGCCAGTTTGGTGCTGCAGGAGGGACTCCTTGTCCACGGCACCAGAGAAGCACTGGCAATAGGAAAGATGACCAAGGCAGGCAGCAGAATTAGGGTTACCAGAAGGAGTGAACAGTGATTGATTGAGTTATTGCCGATGTCGCAATGTACAGAGCTGGTATACCTCTGATTGCAGCACCAAACGGGCACTGTCAAGAGGAAATTGTTATTGAAATGCAACGGCTAAAACAACAGCAAAGAAGAAGAGCGGCTTAGATGACCTGATGCAATTTTAGGTTTTGTGGCAATGTCTTCTAAAATTGCTGCGGATTCAGGAATAGACCCTGCATCCTGGTCCCTCCCATTATCTGCCAATTCCGCTTACAAAAGGAAGAAAGTGTGCGACCTGCTGGCTTCCCCAAAGCACCAAATTGCCCTAAAATAGAGAGGATCCATGGCCTTTCATAGGATGTCATCAAGGCATCATGTTGCACAGTGGGAAAGATTTCTAAGGCCAACTTTAAATAACTTTGTTGACCCCTAAAATAGTCAACTTAACCACTAGAAAGGAGATGATCATTAGCTGAAATATATCACCGAAGCTGGGTAATGAGCTTAGCCCATGAAAAGGATGGGAGTACATTCTTTTTTGTGGTTTAGTAACGCTTTCTGAATTTGTTTTGCAATTCATGGTGACATCAGGAATATTTTTTTAGGTACAGGCATTCTTTCCCCCACCCCCTTGCTCTTTGTCTGATTTCCAGGACTGCTTCTTGCTGCTGATTTCCAGGAGTTTTCCTTTGACCAATAAATTGCTAACATAGTTCCCAAGTGAAATCTCGTTCTTCGGCGAGTTTGGCATTTGGCTGTTTACAGAGGAGTTTGAATCCAACTGGTGGTATGGCTAAAGAAGAAAGTTGTATCTAATCTAGCAAGTTATGATAAATCAAGACAGGGCCTTGGAGAGCATCCACTCAGTGAACCTAGATGTCCAGAACACATGGGGTCTCACTCTTTTCTCAGGTCCATATAGTGGATTTCACCTCTGATATTTTGGAGAGATTAAAATACTTGACTTATAATTTTCCCCGAGAGCGTATTGGAAGCTTTACAAACCAATCTTTACAAACATACAGATTAGTGTCCTGAAGGTGTCTTCATCCTGTTCTGGTGTGTCCCGTAAATACTTGTTTTCTTCACTTGATGAATTCTTTGAATAATAACAGTGGAATTGTTTTAATCCTTCTGCACCAACAGCTGTGCTCCTTTCACAAAAGCACTCATACTGTGGTTGTGTCATGGGCATTTCATAAGAACATAAGAATGGCCATACTGGGTTAGACCAAAGATCCATCTAGCCCAGTAGCCTGTCTGCCGACAGTGGCCAGCACCAGGTGCCCCAGAGAGGTGGACCGAAGACAATGATCAAGTGATTTGTCTCCTGCCATCCATCTCCAGCCTCTGACAAAGAGGCCAGGGACACCACTTCTGTCCCTTGGCTAATAGCCTTTTATGGACCTCACCTCAATGAAATTATCTAGCTTCTCTTTCCTTTTGCCTCAATCCAAACACAGGGACAGGTGCTAAAGAGTCTACCGATTGATATGTCTGTGTTCCTTGCAGGCCAGAAAGTGCTAATTACTGAAGATCTGGAAGATGTTGATGTGATAGAAGGAGATTCTGCCATGTTCAAATGCAGAATCTCTCCAGTAGAATATAGCAATGTGCAGTGGTTTTTGGATAAGACACCTCTGCATACCAATGAACTTAATGACATCCAGTCTAAACCTGGAGGATATCACTTGCTAACCTTGAAAAAACTGTCCCGGAAGGATTCGGGGGTCATTACCTTTGAAGCTGGTGATAAGAAAACATCTGCCAATTTGGTTGTTAAAGGTATGATAATTCAAGCGTAAAGGCTGCAGGAAAAGCTAAAGAATATAGAGGCAAACTCTGAGCAGTGGTATCTTCGTGTAGGTGGAGAGCAAATGCTGTAAAATAAGTTGTCTTATTATTTATGCCCATATGTCCATGAGCTTCACGGCTCTATCTGAGGAGGAAGTTAATACATTGCGGCCTGTAGACCATTCTTTTATCATTTGTTTACTGAGTCTTTCATGGGAGAATACAATATATCGACTTGTGTGTTCGGAACATATTGTCACTTTTTCATGAGCTTTGATGATTGGGTGAGGAAACTAATTGCCTTAGAAAAACAGTTGAAATGCAATGAATATACTTTTGTTTAGCCTTTTTTTACACTCAACAACGTGTAAGACCACGTGATCTACACTGTCAACCATTTAACTCTGACAATTTTTCTAGAAAATTTAGAGTAAGGAAAAAAATTAATCTAGAGTTACTAGTGACGGATCAGAAAGGGAGATTTTTAGTTAGAGAAGTAAGTACTGAGAAACAAGGAAGAGAGAGGCAAGCAGAAAGTGGCAATCAATCCACATGACCCTGAACTTATTGAATTCAGGATCTATACTTTGTACCTCTTGGAATCATAAAATAATTCCTCAGTATGCAGAGCTGAGTAAAATACTTGGTTTCTGCTACATCTAGTTGACACCTTTTGGAGATTCACATGAACCGTTTTGGAAGGGTGAATCTTTGCACCATTTTGTAAAATTAGCATTGATCTGCAGAAACAGGCAACTGTTTTCAGAAAGCAAAAAAGCTGCGGTTACTTGCAAAACACTGGCAGTTAAGTGGCAAAAACTTGTGACAATCTGCTGGCAAAAGCCAGTTTCTGGTTAATTTCTTCTGACAGAAAAGTCAAAAGTCAACAGGTGACTAGCTTTGACAAATTTACATTGCCATGGTCTTCATGACAATCAGTTTTCTCACTCTTCACATATACACAGAGCCCTGGTCTACATGTGGGCTTTATTTCAAAATAACCCCTCTTAGGTCAAATTTATAAGCGGAGCAACCACACTGCCAAGTCCGTTATTTTGAAATAACGGGTTGCAGAATTCAAAATCTGTACCCCAGGAATAACGTTAATTCCGAAATAGTTATTTCAAAACAGTGGTAGTGTGGACTCTCGGATACCACTATTTCAGAATAACTACTCCCCCGAGTAATTCAAACCAATTGCTCCCTAGTGCTTCCTGGGGCTCTAAGGCTGAGGTAGCACATCCACATTAATGGAGCCCGCCTCGGATTCATTTCGAGGCTTCCCCGTAGTGAGGACACACTATTTTGATTTTGTTAAATCGGAGGTTAAATCCTGGGTGTCTGGCTGGTGAGTCTTGCCCACATGCTCAGGGTTTAGCTGATCGCCACATTTGGGGTCGGTAAGGAATTTTCCTCCAGGGTAGATTGGCAGAGGCTCTTGAGGTTTTTCGCCTTCCTCTGTAGCATGGGGCACAGATCACTTGCTGGAGGATTCTCTGCATCTTGGGGTCTTTAAACCATCATTTGAGGACTTCAATATCTGAGATATAGGTGAGATGATTTTTCCAGGAGTGGTTGGGTGAGATTCTGTGGCCTGCATTGTGCAGGGGGTCAGACTAGATGATCATAATGGTCCCTTCTGACCCTAAAGTCTATGAGTTAAGTCAAATTTAGTAATTTCGAAATAATTTCCTAGTGTAGACATGGCATTATTGTTTAGGCAGAAACATCATGCTGTACATTATTCATACTGAAGAGATCTAGGGAAATTTACTGAACTAGTGAAATTTGTTCTTCTCACTAATTAATGTAAAGCCTGTTGCAGACAATGTATCCCAGATTAATACTCTTCCTCAGAGACATTTGGCCCCTGGATTTTGCCATACTATACCAGGCATTTTCAAAACTGATTCTTGGTGCAGAAATCCCCATGCGAGGGCTTAATGCCCCCTACCTCCAAATGATGCTTTTCCGGTAATGATGTTGCAGAATATGGGACAGTCTCTTTGGTATAAATAATCAGTCGTGCTGCTCCCCTCCCTCCGAAAATCTCAGACAAGTTTTATGTGATTCTAGAGAAGCCCTGTGTCATTACAAAGGAGCTTGCTGATGCTGAAATCTTTGAGGGAGAGGATGTCTGTCTTCACTGTGAAACCTCCAAATCAGACAGCCCGGTAAAGTGGTGCAAAGATGGGAAGACCCTTAAAAACTCCTCTAAGCATAAGATCAGCCGGTCGGGATTTGAAGCCACACTTGTCATTCATGGGACAGAAGAGAGAGACAGTGGCAGATACGAGTGTGAGGCTGGAACAGCTAAAAGTAGTGCAGTTGTCACGGTCAAGGGTAAGGAAGTTTGGAGTGATGCTGCCTAACATAAAGGTCAAAATAACAATTTAACAGCAAGATGCAACTAAACGGAAAATTAACTCCATCTCTTCACACACTGATGCAGGTTATGTTCGGACTAACTCAGCTTGACACCTTCCAGACAGGGCACAAAGTGTAAAATAGACAAAAATGTGTATTCTGAGGATGACATGAGCATTGGACTGCAAGGCTAGACAGGGGCTATGATTCATTTACTGAGCTGAAAGGAGAAACACCCTTCTCAGTTATGCACATTGATTTTCAGTCAGCTTCCTTGTGTGTTCTGATCTCCCATGCATGTCGCTGAGTCCTCCAGGTATGCGCAATTTCCAGCTGAGTTCTGGAGAGTAGGATTTTTGCCCCAAGAATGGAATGAAAACCTGTCTTCACAGAGTGATGAAGGAGAGTTGTATGGTTGTTGCTCATCATGATTTGTCTGTTATACTTTTCTACCACACTAAGCCCTGGGAGTTATTTAGAAATAACTCCCCTTATTTCAAAATCACACGAGAAGCGTCCGCACTACCAAGCCTGTTATTTCAAAATAACGGGTCATGGGATTCGAAAGCTGTACTTTTCATCAGGAGTAACACAAATTCCAAAATGGTTATTTCACAGTAGTGGTAGTGTGGACGCTCCGGTGCCACTATTTTGAAATAACTCCTCCCCGGAATCATTCGAAGTAATTTCTCTCTAGTGCTTCCTGGGGATCTAAGTTGAGGTAGTACATCATCAGAGCCTGCCTTGGATTAATTTCGAGGCTCCCCTGTAGTATGGACACACTATTTCAAAATTATTATTTTGGGAGTTATTATTTCGAATTTAGTTATTTCAGAATAATTTCCTACTGTAGACATGCCCCTAGGGAACTGATCCAACAACCATTACAAACAACAGAAACACACTGATTTCAATAGGAACTGGATCTGACATGGGGGAGAGAGCGTTTCTTTATCAAGAAAATGAAATACAAGATTTTATGTAACATGGCTGCTACAATTCATTTGAAATTTCTCCTCTTGCGAGTTGAGGGATTTAAATAAATGGATTCAGAAGATCCCCAGTGGAATGGTAGCTTTAGATGATCCATGAGATAAGGACACGTTATAACACACCACATCCAGCTAGCCTAAGCCATGAAGTTCACCCAAGAGCTCCAGAATGAGGAAGTGGTCGGTATCATATGAAAGGTGCGAGTGTGCCAAAGTAGGGCTGAAAGTGGAACGGAGGGAAGGAGCTGTTGTTCTTCAGCCAAGCAAGGGCGTATGTTGAACCTGAAAGTGTCAGTCCCGGGATGCACGTTTGTAACCTTGTGTTAGAAGACAGCAGTGAATGCATTTGTGAAAACACAGCCCATCAAGCACCACCAGCACTTTCTACTGTGACTGATCTGAAGCGGGAAACCCCACTAAACTGTTCCTCTTTCCTCTTCCACGGTCAACACTAACAGAAACTTTGGTGGCCCCCTACTTTTCACTAATTCACCTTTTGAACTGAACTCACTCTTCCTGACAGAGGCTGTGTAGCGATCATCAGTGAGACGCTTTTATCTGCCTGCTCCCCTTTCTCTGTGTACGCTGTGTAGCGTTTGCTAAGTCAATACATCTTCACGTCCTAGGAGAATGTGTCTGGCTTCCTGTAAGGAGAAGAGATCCTTGACTGGGCAGATGAATGTGTCAGCTGTTGGCTGTTATGCTGATTGTCCTATCCTTGTGTTCTCTTCCTGTATGTATTCATTAACCTTGCTCGTTCTTGTTCTTTTTTTTTTTTAACGGCACTGGCCTAGCTCTGAACACCTGTCTGGAGGGTCATCCAATATCTCCTGCCCCGACTGACATCTGGAAAATGTAGTATTGGAGAAGGGATACCTTTAACTAACTGCAGTGACAAAAATGGTGTAAAAATTCCCTTCTTCTGTGTATTCAGTATTTCACAGCATGAAGCAAGCATGCAAATAGTAATATCGAGGGGTTGAAGGTGCTCCATTTCTCTCAGGATCAGGCCCCTAAAGAATCTCTACAATACATCCGCACTACTCGTGCTATTAAATGTTTAAATGTATGTTTAAATACTGTGTGTGTCGTTACTAATCATGAAGATGCCCTAAAATATGTATTTGGTCTCCAGTTTTACTTTGAACTGTGTTGAACTGACAGCTAGCGATCTCCAAGCACTTTTTCGTGCTGGCATTCTGTGGTTCTACACCTTTGTGTGTGCTGAGGTACAAAGCTAGAGTGTGATCAGGTATTCTTGCATTCTTGAGTGGTCACCGTCTGCAATTCTGCGTTTTTAGCTCTGCCGGTTCTTTTCAAACGAGAGCTCCAGAGTGAGGAGGCGAAAGAAGGAAGTCAAGTCAAACTGAGTTGTGAGCTCAGCAAAGCTGGCATCCCTGTGAAATGGACAAAGGGAGAGACGGTTCTCCTGCCCGGGGATAAGTACCGGTTAAAGCAACATGGCACAGTTGCAGAGCTCATTATTCAGGACGTCCAATCGATCGATGCTGGAGACTACACCTGCAGCACTGGGGAACAAACGACAACTGCTCGGGTGAAAGTAAATGGTAGGCGGAGCTGGTAGATTGCAGGTTATTTGACTTATGAAGTTATTTAACACACATGCTATAACTTAACAGCAGTTCTTCATTGTGGAGGAGAGTTACCCAGTTAGGATTCATCATTCAGGTTTAACGCTAATATAAATACTCATCAATATCTGTATTGTTTTAGTACAATTTCACATTCTACATCCAAGTCGGTAACTATGTAACATCTTTGATTTCTGCTTAATTGAGTCATCTTTTCCCTGTTGTACATTTGGAAGCTTAGGGACACTTAGGGTTGCATCCCTGACCACCTTGACTAGTAGTCATTGATGGACCTGTCCTCCATGAGCGTATCTAATTCTTTTTGTATTCCAAATATACTTTGGGCCTTTATAACATCCTCTGGCAATGAGTTTCACAAGTTAACAGGTGTGCATTGGGTGAAGTCCTTCCTTTTGTTTGTGTTAAATAATTGAAAAGAATTTGCACTTATTCCATATGTGAAGATACCACATTGCCAATCACAAGTATAATCATATTAATTAATTAAATAATAATAATTAGTTGCAAACATACGGGCTGTCTTTCTTGACTGCAGTGAAAGGGAAGACCATATCAGGACTTTGTCATATGGGGGTGCTGGATATAGTCTGTCCTCAACATTGATCACTTCTGGTTGTATGTTTTAGCCCTGCCCGTCCTTTTTAAACAAAACCTTCAGAACACAGAGATGGAAGAGGGGAGCATGGTAGCTCTGCGCTGCGAGATCACGAAACCTGAGGCCCACGTGGTGTGGAAGAAGGGAGGCGCCATACTCGGGGAGAGTGCCAAGTATGAGATGAGGCAGAAGGGTTCTGTGGCAGAGCTGTTCATTCACAATGCAGAGCCCGAGGATGCGGGAAGATACACATGTGATACCGGAGAGCAGCAGACGACAGCTCAAGTCAAAATTCACGGTAGAGGTTTTCATCATTTTCTGTTGTTGTTAAATACGTCGTGTTTATTATGGCCTTGCCCAGGGGCTGACTACAATGGCCAACATTGTATAAGCTGCCAAACAAACACAGAGAAGCAGATAATTCCCGTTCCAAAGAGCTGACAGTCTAGACCAGGGGTGGGCAATAAAATGGTGGCAATTCACCAGGGTTAGCCCCTGGAGGGCCATTGCCACTATATTTACCTGCACCTCCATAGTTACGGGCGATCACAGCTCCCATTGGCCAGGAACGGCGATCCGCAGCCAATGGGAGCTGTCATCCCCTGTACATGTTAAGCACAGATAAATACGGCGGTGTGGGGGCCCACCAGGGCTAACCTTTGCAGACTAGATCCAGCTTGCGGGCCGGTATTTGCCCAACCCTAGTCTGGATAGAAGGGTCTGATGGTGGGTTGTAGGCAAGGACTTAATACATAAGCAAAGCAAAGGGGCAAAACATTGTGTAGCTCCATGACTGTGGGTGGTTGCATCTATGGACACGCAAGTAAATCAAGCATCTGGTTAACTCTGGCAAATTGCATCTGGCCCATGAGCTGCGTATTGCCCACTCCTGATCCAAGCTGTGAAATCATATTATGCTGATGCACATCATATAAATGCATGCTCCTCCTTCAGCCCTGCCTGCACTCATCAAGGAAGAACTGAAGAACGTGGAAGCCACGGAAGGTGGAGCGGCCACTCTGCGCTGTGAGCTGAGCAAAGCCGCCCCAGTGGAGTGGAAGAAGGGGGAGAAGGGGCTCAGGCCAAGTGGCAAGTATAGAATGAGACAAGAAGGCACCACGGCTGAGCTGGTCATACATGATCTAGATCTGAAGGATGCAGGAGACTACACATGTGTATTTGGAGAGCAAAAAACCACAGCAGCCTTAACAGTGAATGGTAAAACATCATAAATAAACCGTGACATTTCTGAAAGTTCCCCTCCCCCCTTTTTTTCCTATTTCCTGCCAAAATTTGCTTGTGTCCTACTTGTCCATCTCTTTATTCATCTTTGGCCATCGCGTTGCGGCTCCCATGTTATGTGTCCTACTTGTCCATCTCTTTATTCGTCTTTGCCCATCGCGTTGTGGCTCCCATGTTCATTTGTCCTCTCCCCTGACAGAATTCAGTGCATGTGTGTGCAATACAAAGTTTTCAAAAGAATGCTACCCAGGTAAAGACAGCGCATGTGTGTTTTACTGAAGTAAATATTGTCTAACAGCATTACCAACACTTCCACTGCTTGGTGGGCTCTGAGAAGACATTTAGGGGTAAATTAGAGCTAAATCACAGCACAGAACACAGAGTCAGGACTGGGGGCTATAAACAAACTTTATGGGACTGTTGGAAACTTGGCCACGACTCACGATAAGTGGACATCCAGCTAACTAATATCATGCCAGGTCACAGATGTAGCCAGACCAGAGAATGCTGGACTAGAGAGGTTCAACTTGTAGTTCTGAGTTTGCAGCATTTGGATGAAAATTCTGTTCCGTCTGCATCCCTCAGCCGTACCTGTACGTTTCAAAAAAGAACTGAAGAATGAGGAAGCCACTGAAAGTGGAACAGCCACGCTGCACTGTGAGCTGACCAAGCCTATTGACTCAGTCGAGTGGAAGAAGGATCAAAAGGTGCTGAAGCCAAGCAGCAAATACAGGATGAGGCAGGAAGGCCGCTTCGCTGAGTTGATTATCCAAGACCTAGATTTGGCAGATGCTGGAGATTACACGTGTGTGTGCGGTGACCAGAAGACAACAGCTGCTTTAACAGTGAATGGTAAATGTGCCCCAAATTAAGTAGGTTGTTTTATATTTCTGTACTCTGAAACTCCAGGGGTTGTCATTCCTCATTCATATTGATCCATGGCTGCTCCTCTGATCCCTTGTTCACTGCAGTTTTGGAGAGGGGACTCTTATCCTTGGCTTTGTGGTGACATTGGGTCATCTTGATAAAGAACATTCCCCCATGCTGTATTGACTTGCTGTAGTCCATGCTACATTCCCTTGTTTTGTTTCCTTTTATATGTGTTAGGTTCCTCTTTAAAGAGCTTTGTTATTCTCCTCATTGCTATAAGCTGTCTCCATTCTAGGAATGATGCGCAGGTGTTTAACTGTTTCTGTTGCTTAGGTTCCTTCTTTTATGGCTTTGAAATGTGTGACTGGGGGGGGAAGATGGGTTATCATGATCTAACGACCCACAGAAATGCTCCTGCTCACGTCTGGTTCTGATCCCATCGCTGTCTCTGTTGTGTCCTTCAGCCTTGCCTGCACTTTTTGTAGACGCGCTAAATAACCAGGAAGGCTCCGAGGGTGGGACAGTCACCCTACACTGTAAACTGAGCAAGGCTGCCCCGGTGCAGTGGAAGAAGGGACAAAAAGCACTCGGGCCAAGTGACAAATACCAAATAAGGCAGGAGGGTCCATCTGCTGAACTGGTGATCCGTGATCTGGATAGGATGGACGCTGGAGATTACACTTGTGTGTGTGGAGAACAGCAGACTACAGCTACCTTGACAGTGAATGGTAAAACAAAACACGCTGCATATGTTCCCGTTAAAACAATAGAGCTCTAATATTTCCTCCACGTTCCAATGATTTATCCCCATCTCCATTCCACCCCGGTATCTCTGTGTTTTGGCTTTCTTTATCCTCCCCTTCTTCTTCCCCTTGCGATCAGCATGTAATTGCATTCAAAGGCATTGGATGTACAAACATCAAAAGAGGTACAGGCTCCTTTCCTGTTCTTTCCCCCAATTCCAATTCAAATGCAGTCTAGTCTTCCCCTCTGTATATTGGGTGGGCAGAAGGTTTTTCCGTAGGGATCATGTTGCCAAATGGAACTCTAGTCTCTCCCTTCCAGTTACTTGGAATGGTGGGTCTGGGTTTCTGAGGGGACAAGATGATGATTTTATCATCTTAGGTCATTGTGTAGAGGATATTTTAGTGAACATTATTAATTTTAATAATACTGTAGATTCTATCACTTATTTAGAACTGTTTGGTGGCCCCTCCAAAATATTTTAGCTCTGCAAAAGGTTGGCATTGGGGTTTCTAGTTAGGTTCCTCTTTAAAGAGCTTTGTTTTAGAGCTGGGGTGGGCAAAATATGGATCTTAGACAGGCTCCCTGCCTGCCCTGCTCCCAGAGGCTGCTCAAAGCAGCTGTCTACAGGCGTTATGTTTTTCTGGGAGTGCTGGGAACCTGCAGGTGATCGTGTGGGAAGAGGCTTGGCATGCTGCCCCTGACCCCAGCACAATCTCGCAGCTCCCATTGGCCAGAAACCTGCACCCATACTCCTTCCCATCTCCTACACCCGCTCCTACACCCAAAGCGCCCTTCTGCACCCAACCTCCATCCCAGTCCTCACACGTCCTCCATTAACATCATGGAAAAGTGCGGACCTTGACTACTTTCCAAACTTTTAGAGTGGCCCCCTCATCAAAAATTATTACCGACCCCTGTTTCAAGAGAACACAGAGGCTGTGTCTACACTGGGCCACTTATTCCGGAAAATCAACCGCTTTTCCGGAATAAGCTGCGAGCTGTCTACACTGGCCCTTGAATTTCCGGAAAAGCAACGATGCTCTACTGTACAAAATCAGCCGCTATTCCGGAAAAACTATTCTGCTCCCGCTCGGGCATAAGTCCTTATTCCGGAACACTGTTCCGGAAAAGGGCCAGTGTAGACAGCCCAGTAGTCTTTTCTGGAAAAGTGCGTCTACATTGGCCACAGACGCTTTTCCGGAAAAAGGGCTTTTCCGGAAAAGCAGCCTGCCAATGTAGACGCTCCTTATTATTCCGTTTTAAGCATTTCCGGAAATTCATGCCAGTGTAGACACAGCCAGACACTGTCTATATCAGAGACTAACCTACAGGGATGTTATTTACGTCAAGGGGAAAACATTTTGGGCGTAGTATTGAAAATTGGTCTCTGATTGTACTCCTGTGATTTTGCTGAGACAAATACTTGCGGCTATGCAGCATTTTGCTATCTAATCATCTGGTTTTCTCACCAAATCAGATTGATAGTTGTTGAAATGCTACAGAATAAGCCTGCACAATCAAGAGCACAAAATCAGAAGCTCAACTGAGACCTTTTTTTTAAAAAAAAGCATTGCTTGGGACTGCAGCAGAGAGAGCAGGGGCTAACAGGAGAGCATCTGTAGTGCTGAGTTTCTCTGTGCTGATTCCTTCTGTCCATATCACCTTCGCTCTGCAGTTCTGCCCACGCGATTCACTAAAGAACTGAAGAATCAAGAGGCTACCGAAGGTGAAAGTGCCACTCTGCACTGTGAGCTAAACAAGGCTGCCCCAGCTGTGGAGTGGAAGAAGGGACACAAAACCCTCAAACCCAGTGACAAGTATAAAATGAGACAAGAAGGGGCTACGGTTGAGTTGATAATCCAAGACCTGAGCATGACAGATGCTGGAAATTATACCTGTGTGTGTGGAGACCAGCAAACCATGGCAGCTTTAACTGTAAATGGTAAACGAGGAAGCAAACTAAAAATAGTTGTATTATTCCTTCTGTAGCTGTGGATAGATGCATTCCTTACCTGGACTAACCTAGCGACCTTTTCCAGGCCTTATTGAGGGCATGTCTACACTGGGGAGTTATTTCAAAATAACAAGGCAAGCAGCCACTCTACCAAGCCTGTTATTTCGAAATAATATTATATAACTACATCCCGCTCCATATATTTGAGCTAGGCCTCACAAATAATCATGCCGGCCCTGTGTACATCTTCCCATGTTCTCAAAGACGGAGCAAGTCAAAACATTTCATTTGGAAAGTTTCTCACACAAAAAAAAAAATGGTTTTGCTGAAATAGATCATTTCTTTTTTATGGGGGTAAAAAGGCCAAATCAGATTAATGTTTTTTTGTGTCCTGAATGCATTTTTCTTTCCAAATGGCCATTTCAAAACGAAACTTTCTGTTTTGACGCAGAAAGTCATTTCGTTTTGTTACCAAAAAAAATCATATTTATTTAGTTTGAAACTTTTCATGGGAAAACCAAATGTTTTGGCTGAAAACTTTTGAATGAATCTTCTTTTTCATTTCAAATTTTACAGGAAAAAACTTGGTTTTCTGGCCAGCTCTACTGATCTTCTTGCTGCTTCCTTTTATACTGACTTGTGACAATGTGTTCATTTCTGTGTGAGGCGTCTGCACCTTTCTGTGAATACCGAGTACATTTCTGGGCAGGGAGGTTATCTGGCTGGCTATTTTCTTTTCTCATATTGATTATTGAGAGCAGTGAAGCTGGCCGACTGACAGCTGATGCTCCAGTTTTGATACCTGGGTAGAAAATATCTAGAATAAAAGGGGAACATTTAATGTTGACTGTTTTTGATTTTTAAACCCACCTGTCCTTATTGCTGTCCCTCAGTCCTGCCTGCGTTTTTCAAAGAGGGATTGAAGAATAGGGAAGCCACAGAAGGTGGAACAGCCACTCTGCACTGTGAGCTGACTAAAGTCCCTGTCCTAGTGGAGTGGAAGAAGGGGTCAAAAACGCTCAAAGCCAGTGACAAGTACAGAATGAGACAGGAAGGTACCATTGCAGAGCTGTTGATCCGCGACCTGGATGTAGACGATACAGATGATTATGCCTGTGTGTGTGGAGACCAGAAGACTTCTGCTGTCTTGACAGTCCATGGTAAACACAAATTCCACATTGCAAGAGAAATATTCCAGAGACCTTCACACCCTTTGGAAATTCCCTTCCTGGCCTGTTTTTAGGAGTGTTTGTTTTTACCTTTCCTTTTATCCTTTCTCTAGTGCCTGTCTGTATTTTGTTCCATCTCATCTCCCCTTGTTATCTTGTATTAAAATAGTCTTCCTTACTGTGAACTAGAAGAGGGGGTACAGATGGCTTCTTTTTCTAGATCCATTCTGTCTCTTTTCAGAGTAAAAATCTATCTGTACTTAGTCAGACAAATGTTTTTCTAGGCTCCTAAGAATATACTAAATAAAAGTGGCCTGATTTTCAGATCTATTGCCCAAATAAATCTGTAACTCTTCAAGGCTATGTCTACACAGCAGTGTTATTTTGGAATAACGTCAGTTATTCTGAAATAACATAGTGCACGTCTACATAGCAAGTCCATTATTTTGAAATACATTTGAAATACTGATAGAAATGTAGCCGTGTTAGTCTGGGGTAGTTGAAGCAAAATGCAGGACAATGTAGCCACCTCCTGTAACCCTCATTGTATGAGGAGTAAGGGAAGTCAGGGGAAGAGTGCTCTATTTTGGAATACCTGCTGTGTAGACAGTGCCAAAAGTCAAAATCAGCTATTTTGACTTAAGCTACACAATTAATGTAGCTCAAGTTGCGTAACTTATTGTTTAGCCCTGTTATGTAGATGTTCCTTATGGTGCCATAGAATACCTTGTTGGTTTTACTGATTTTCAGAGGAATTGAATACTCCCGAGTCTCAGAGTGCATCTACACAGCACCCTAAACTCGAAATAAGATACGCAATTTACGCTAGGCAAATTGCGTATCTTATTTTGATTCTATTTCAAAATAGCGTATTTTGAAATTTGGCACATCTACACAGTGTCAAATTTCAAAATAACGCACTATTTTGTGACATCCTTTAACCTTCATGGAATAAGGGCTACAGAGATGCCAAAATAGAGTGGCCATTATTTTGAAAAATATTTCTAAATAATGGGTGGCTTGTTAAGACGCAGGGTAGCTATTTTGGGATACCTCCAGTATCCCGAAATAGCCACGCAGTGTAGACATAGCCTCATTGAACTTAATGGATTCCAGAGCCTAACTTGAGGAAATCCTATTTGGAAAATTTGGTTTTCATTTGGTCTTGGCCTTTTTGGCAAAATTAAGAGAATGAACGGTGGTGCCCTGTATGTCTTGGGGTGACAGTGATATGTACCCCTGATAAAATTACACTGTTCTGAAGATGAGTGGTCTTAATGACACTGTTAGCAGCAGTGTTAGTGTATTTGTAGGGCCAATCAGGTGGTGATTCTTAAGAGGCCCTGTTTGGTTTAGATATGTCTGAGACTTTAGATGCTTTTGAAAATGTAGCTTAACCTTTGAGGCACTTCCACCTCTTGTTTCCTTTTCTGTGCATTTTATTCCCCCTTTCTTTCTCCCAACCCAGATGCATTCTTCTCTTGGGCACCAAGCTTACCTTTCCATGGGAAATGGTTCAGAAAAAGGCAACAAAAATGATGAGGGGTTTGGAACAGGTCCCATATGAAGAGAGATTAAAAAGACTTGGACTTTTCAGCTTAGAAAAGAGGAGACTACGGCGGGGGGGATAGTATTGCGGTCTATAAAATCATGACTGGAGTGGAGAAAGTGAATAAGGAAAAGTTATTTACTTATTTCCCACAATAGAAGAACTAGGGGTCACCAAATGAAAATAATAGCCCGCAGGTTTAAAACAAACAAAAGAAAGTTTTTCTTCGCGCAGCACACAGTCAAACAAAAGAAAGTTTTTCTTCACGCAGCACACAGTCAACCCCTGGAACGCCTTGCCAGAGGATGCTGAAGGCCAGGACTTGAACAGGGTTCAAAAAAGAACTAGATACATTCATGGAGATTAGGTCCACAAATGGCTATTAGCCAGGATGGGTAGGAATGGTGTTCCTAACCTCTGTTTATCAGCGGCTGGAAATGGTTGATGGAGAGGGATCACTTGCTGATTCCCTGTTCTCTTCTTTCCCTCTGCTAGATGGACCTTTGGTCTGATCCAATGTGGCTGTTCTTATGTTCTTAAGTTCCTTCCCCTCACAAACTGCCTATGTGTAGCTGCTTATAGGGGCATCTCAAACTTTATTAGTGGTTGAATGCTTCTCAAGAGCAATGTATTTGACACTGAACTGAGAGGTATCGAGTGCTAGAAATTATGTTTTGATGTCAGGTGTATGGCTAGGCTGCTAAATCAACATGTAAAGAGACGAGGCGAATGACCAACTTCTGGCTCAGTCCCAGGATATTAGCGGCAAGGTGAGTGAGGTAATATTTGTACTGGACCAGCTTCTGTGGGTGAGAGGGAGTCTGTGTACACTCAAAAGCTGCCTCTCTTAAATTGGTCCAATAAAAGGTATTACCTCACCCACCTTGTCTCTCTAGTATCCTGGAACTGACACAACAGGGTTGCCAGCTCTGACTGTAGCTCTACCATGAGATTTTCCACCCTCCCTGATGGTAATGTAATATTTTTTTTCTTAAAGTGTGTGATTACATTCCACAGGATTGCTTTCAGTAGTCACCAGGATTTGAGAGCAGCCTTCAGCTTCCTGAAGGGAGGTTCCAAAGAGGGTGGAGAGAGGCTGTTCTCAGTAGTGACAGATGGCAGAACGAGGAGCAATGGTCTCAAGTTGCAATGGGGGAGGTCTAAGTTGGATATTAGGAAAAACTATTTCCCTAGGAGGGTGGGGAAGCACTGGGATGGGTTCCCTAGGGAGGGGTTGGAATCTCCATCTTTAGAGGTGTTTAAGTTCCTGCTTGACAAAGCCCTGGCTGGGATGATTAACTGGGGTTGGTCCTGCTTTGGGCAGGGGGTTGGCGGGCTCTTGAGGTCTCTGCCAACCCTGGGATTCTCTGATGCTGATTTTGGGAGACTCAAGTCCAGTCCTGGAGGGTTGGCTACTCTCCAGCACAGCTACAACAACTCGGCATACACCACGCTCTAGTAATGTAACAGGAAGGTAGATTAAAGCAGGCTCGTATGCATTTTGATGCACTCTCAGTCCACGTTTCATCCCGCAGCCATGCCTGCACTGTTCAAAAAAGAACTAAAAAATGAAGAAGCCACAGAAAGTGGGGCAGCCACTCTCCACTGTGAGCTGACCAAAGCTGCCCCTGTGGAGTGGATGAAGGCTGAAAAGGTGCTCAAAGCGAGTGTCAAATACAAAATGAGGCAGAAGGATGCCATTGCTGAGCTGACCATCCATGACCTAGGTGAACAGGACGCTGGAGATTACACTTGTGTGTGTGGAGACCAGAAGACCACTGCCTCCTTGACAGTGCACGGTAAAGCCAAAAATCGAGTGGGATTGTCTAAGCTTGCGACTAGAATCACAAATTAAGCTTGTTATCACCTGCCATTTTACATTGCTATTGTATTAATAACAACCGCCATAATTTGTACTTATTTAAATTCCATAATTTGGGTTTGATATAACATTATGGAGATTTTTCTTCTCCTTTTTTTTGTTCTTAATAGACTTTGGGGGCAGATAATTAAGTCCTGTCAGAATTACATGCAAGTTTGAGTTTTCCCTTTAATTCCTTTAATCCTATTACTGAAATTTCATTTATTTGAACAGGCAGTTGGAGAGAGGGTGACACATAATAACGTACAATCTTACAAAGTTCATTAGATATGTTTTAAGGTCTAATAGCACTAGGCACTCCTCCTTGAAAATTCAGGACAAACTTTCTCATATATGTCGGACGATGCCTTAACCTGCTACCCCAGAGCTATTCTAATTCTGAGGCTGAACTAAAGAAGCAGACTGCCAATTTGGTTGTAATGTGCTGAAATTAGTGTCCTGGCAAAATGTCAACCAGGGACTCAAATGAGACCCCTGAAATCATTTTAATTTGGTTCTTAGCCACTGTTTGAGACTACCAGTGAACACGCTAATTCACTGGAGCTTTCCCAGCTGCAATTATTCCTGCATTTAAATGCCCTTTCTATTCCTCTTCTGCTCTTCAGTCCTTCCTCCACGCTTTAAAGAAGACCTGAAGGATTTGGAGGCCACCGAAGGCAAAGCAGCCATTCTACACTGTGAGCTGACCAAAGTTGCTGCTCCTGTGCAGTGGAAGAAGGGGTCCAAAACACTCCAACCCAGCGACAAGTTTAGAATGACTCAGGAAGGCACCATTGCAGAGCTTGTGATCCATGATTTAGATCTGACAGATGCTGGAGATTATACATGCATGTATGGAGACCAAAAAACCACAGCTGCCTTAACAGTGAATGGTAAATAATGCACCTCAAATTAAGGGCATCATTTTCTGCTATCTGTTCTGTGAAACATAATGGGGTCATCAACTGGGTTACAGCCCTACTTTTAGCCTGCGGTAAATTAGTCTGCATCACTGAAAAGTTAAAATCCATGTGCTGCAATTTTCTTAAATATTGCTGATGAATTTAGCAAAATGTTGGCAGAAATAGAAATAGACTCTTCGTCTTGGTTACACCAGATGGTGGTCAAGCACTCATATTGCAGAAATTTCTACACAGACTTGGAAATACAACCCAGTTTCAACCACTAACCCTTCTGATTTTTGTGTTTAATAGTAGGTGTTAAAATGTTAACATGATTTTTATCATGATAAATGTTACAGGTTGAACCTCTCTAGCCCACCTCCCTGGTCTGGCAACACCCAAGGTTAGGCATAATTTTAGTTAGCCGGCTGTCCACTTAGCATGGGTGCGGCCAAGTTTCCTGCGTTCCCATAAAGTTTGTTGATAGCCACCAGTCCTGGCTCTCAATGGCCTGTGCTGCTGTTTAGCTCCAGCTTACTCCTAAGTGTCTTCTCAGAGCCCAGTCAGCAGTTGAAGTGCTCGTAATACTGCTAGGCTAGCTAATTCTCTGGTTCAGTACTGGTCACATACTGAGGGTGCCGGACTAGAGAGAGTCAACCTATATGTTGTTACATTGCAAGAATGAGGAATATCATGATTAAAGTCATAAGAAACTTTATGTCTCTTTCAGATTTGAACATTGTATTCTATCTTCTATTCATTCTTCTGCTCTACTCTGTGCTGGTTAGGCCTCAATTGAAGAATTGTGTCCAGTTCTGGGCACCACATTTCAAGAAAGATGTGGAGAAATTGGAGAAGGTCCAGAGAAGAGCAACAAGAATGATGAAAGGTCTAGAGAACATGACCTGTGAAGGAAGACTGAAAGAATTGGGCTTGTTTAGTTTAGAAAGGAGAAGACTGAGAGGGAACATGATAGCAGTTTTGACATAACTAAAAGGGTGTCACAAGGAGGAGGGAGAAAAATTGTTGTCCTTGGCCTCTGAGGTCAGGACAAGAAGCAAGGGGCTTAAACTGCAGCAAGGGAAGTTTAGGTTGGACATTAGGAAAAACTTCCTAACTGTCAGGTTGGTCAAACACTGGAATAAGTTGCCTAGGGAGGTTGTGGAAACTCCATCTCTGGAGATATTTAAGAGCAGGTTAGACCGACACCGGTCAGGGATGATCTAGATCAGGGTTACTCAACTTTGGAAGCCCTGGGGGCCACAATGATACTCTCAGCACATGCTGAGGGCCACAACTTAAGTGTGGTTGCATATACATGCAAATATATATGCAAATGTATGTAAATAGCTTCTTTCACACTGATGGGCATGAATACAAAGATTAAGGCAAGACTACACAACGTGCAGGTCCCATTTAAGTCAGTTCTGCTGATATTAATAAAATGCAATATTTACCCAATTGCCACCCATATGACTGCACTTCTAATGAGCAATGACAGTCCAGGACTTTAACTACTAAAACACATAGCAACAGAAGACCATTCTATTGACTCCTTTTTTGTTTTGGCTACCACCTGTGGGTCGCGTGTTGAGCCCCACGTAAACCCAAACCACACCGTGGGCCACAAGTTGAGTAGCCCTAGTCTAGATGGTATTAGGTCCTGCCGTGAGGGCAGGGGACTGGACTCGATGACCTCTCGAGGTCCCTTCCAGTTCAAGTGTTCTATGATTCTAGGATTTCCTTGGGAGGAAATAGAATTGTTGCTACTTTCACTGGGAGGTCAGCAATGCGACCTCCAGTGGCCAGTTGATGACAACGGTAAGTTAATAAACTTGCATAAAGCACGAAAGCCACCAACACTGAACAGGGGCACCACACGCCGTTGTCGTCTTGCTCTTCAAAATGCCCTTTCCATGGAAAATTGCAGTCACCAGGCGCAAGCAATGAGCACGTCCTATCTCCACACCCCCATTGTGCTGTTGCCAGGGAACGGAAGGACTCTCACTGCTCAATGTGCTCGCTATCAAATCTAGACATAAATCTGTAATCACTGCTACCTCCCCAAGCCATATGGAAGAAGACGACTGATTTCCTTTGGGGAGGTCCTAGCAGTCATGCTACGTTGAGCCAGGCATATCGCAAGGACACATCGAAAGGAGCCATGAGATACCAGTCAGCCAATGCTGTTTCATTTGTGACCCTATTATTTTATCATTTGTATTACAATAGTGCCTAGAAACTTCAATCAGGTTTAGGAATCATTTGTTCTAGGCCATGGATTAGGAACCTCAGGCCTGGGGACTGGATGGGCCCCCTGGCTTGCCTGGATCTGGCCCCTGAGGCTCTGGGCCCCACACCCCAGCATTGGGGGCGTGGCCGCTGGTGCTTCCGTCCCCCTGCTGCCGGCTTGCCTGGATCTGGCCCCTGAGGCACTGGGCCCCACACCCCAGCATTGGTGCTTCCGTCCCCCAGCTGCCACCCCTCCCCACATGGGGCTGGAGCATACAATCTACTAGGCTGGGCCCCCTAGGCTTTGGTGTGTGAGGGGAATGTGTGGAGTGTCTTTCTCCTTCTTAGCCAGGGGCCACATGTCTTTTTCCTTCTCAGCCAGGGGCCACATTTTTTTCCCTTCTCTCTTGTGTGTGGCCCCTGACTGATTTTTCTGTGGGTCTGCAGCCCCCAACCCGAACAAGGTTCCTCACCCCATTGTAGGCACTCCACAAATAGAGTGAAAAGAAAGTCCCTGCCCTGAGAGAGATCTGAAAGACAAGGGTGGTTCTCTAGCTGTTACAGTTTGTGGGACATTCTATACACGAGAGCTCTGCCTTAGGATAAGGGCTTTTCTGAACCCCTCCAGCCACCACCATGTGGTCCTCAGCATGGTTAATGCTGCTCCAGGGAAGGTTTTGCAGACCACTTGCGGTCCCCAGATCACTAGTTGGTAATCAGGTGGGTTCGTGTATTCAAACGTCTGTGCCATGTCGTTGCCATCATGTGACGGTTCATGTGCTCTGTGCGTTCTGAACTTCACAGCTCTGCCTGCACGTTTCAAGGAAGAAATGAAAAACGAGGACGCCACAGAAGGGGAGAGAGCCGCTCTGTGCTGCCAGCTGACCAAGGCTGCTTCCGTGGAGTGGAAAAAGAAGCACAAGGTGCTCAAACCAAGCAACAAATACACAATGAGGCAGGAAGGTACCACGGCAGAACTAGTGATCCATGATGTAGACGTCAAGGACGCTGGAGATTATACCTGTGTATGTGGCGACCAGAAGACAACTGCAGCTTTGACAGTACAGGGTAAAAAAAAAATCAAATGTTAATTGTGTGGTTTTTCTACCTTCTCATGTGAAAAACTCAATCCTGACAGCTTCCTGTTCTGATCTGACCATCGTAGACTCTCCCATAATACAGCCTTCCCATTTCCCGATCTCCATCTAACTCCCTGAAACCCTACTTCTTATAATTACTCTTAGCCCTCTGTGTTTTTCTCTATCCCCTCTAGTTTGTGCTTACGTCACACTTCTGCTGGAGGGATTTCGCTCGCTCGGGTGGTTTGTGCATTGCTCGTTTTAGACTAAGCCAGAAAAGAAAGCCGCGGCTGCAATATTTATATTTCTGAACTGAGAAGAGAGATCTTAGGTTGTCGTTTGTTAACATCGATCTGTCAGTTCTAAGGGCTCAGGCTAGTAATACAGCAGGCAAGAGCAGGTTCTGTGCAGTCTTTTTTACATTTCTAACAATGCATCCTGCACATGTCTCTACTTATTTGGCCCTCATCGTCACAGTATCTGAGTCATTAATCCTGTTTATCCACATAGTCTCCCTGTCAGGTAGGGACAGCACGGCTGACGGCCACCGTGGGCCACAGGGCAAGGTGGAGAGAGGCCGTTCCTGCACCCCTGGAAGGGGCAGAGCCTCAGACAGAAGGGGCGGGTGCCTGCAGCCGGGGGCTCCTGGCCCCTTTGAACCTCCTGGCCCAGAGCAACTGCCCCCTCTCCCCCTCACCACCCCTATCAGCAGGGCTGGGTAGGGAAGTATCATCATCTTGCTCATTTTATAGATGGGGGACTTGCCCAAGGTCACACAGAAATTCTATGAGTAGAATTCAGATCTGAACGCCTGTTCTTGGCTGACTGTCACGACTCCTCTCTTTCCGTCCTCCTCCTGGCCAGCCAGACTTTTGCTCTTCCCATCTTGAACCTCTTATGGGACGACCAACTCCATAACGCGCGGATGGATGTTTAGACGTGGAGAGACGCTGGTGACCTTCAAACTCATTTTCATGTATTAGCCGTAATTGGCGCGTGTGAGACCCTTCCCTCCCTCTTTGTTCCTCAGTCCTGCCGGCCCGTTTCAGAGAAGACGTAAGAGGCGGAGCAGCCACTCTGCGCTGTGAGCTGACCAAGGCTGCCCCGGTGGAGTGGAGGAAGGGGCACCAAGTGCTCAAATCAAGTGACAAACACAAAATGAGGCAGAAGGACACCACTGCTGAGCTGGAAATCCGCAACCTAGAGGAGACGGATGCGGGTGATTATACCTGTGTGTGTGGCGCTCAGCAGAGCACAGCTGCCCTGGCAGTACGTGGTAAGGACAAGGATCGGCATGATGTTAACCATTTTCCACCGACGTTCTTAACTGAGGATTCAAGCATCTGTCCTTGTATAATTTGTCCTCCCTGTGTTTTGTCCTTTGTTATGTCCAGTGCATGTAGGAGTCATAAAACCTCCCCACCACCTCAGCTCCAAACACAGTATCTGTGTCAAGGGCCTGATCCACTCACCACTCCTTACAGAACACCTGCGGGATCTGGCCGTGTAGCAGGGTCCTCTGTTCATGGAGGGTGGGTCCCCCTGCTGGCCTTCCGGGGATTAGCTCTGTACTTCCCCGTGCCCATTCCTGGTGTGGCACTCTGTTTCTCCCTCTCCAGCCCCTCTCTCCCTCCAGGGACAGTGGCCTCAGCTGTCCGGCCAGCTCCTGGTGTGGTTTCTCTGAGGGTACGTCTAGACTACATGCCTCCGTCGACGGAGGCATATAGATTAGCCAGATCGGCAGAGGGAAATGAAGCCGCGATTAAAATAATCGCGGCTTCATTTAAATTTAAATGGCTGCCCCGCTCTGCCGATCAGCTGTTTGTCGGCAGATCGGGGCAGTCTGGACGCGCCGCGCTGACAAAGAAGCCTTTCTTGATGGGCACAGGTAAACCTGGTTTCACGAGGCATACCTGTGCCGATCAAGAAAGGCTTTCTTTGTCGTAGCCAAATTAGCCCCCATCATACTGTACGTATAGTTGGGGTTATTTTTCCCAATGTGCATTACTTTACACTTATCCACATTAAATTTCATTTGCCATTTTGTTGCCCAATCACTCAGTTTGGTGAGATCGCGGCTTCATTTCCCTCTGCCGATCTGGCTAATCTACATGCCTCCGTCGACGGAGGCATGTAGTCTAGACACACCCTGACAGTCCTTCCATTCACTTTCCCCAGGTGTCACTCCCGCCGTAGTGAGTAGGTGTCACTCCCTCTGCTCTGCGTTCTGGCTCCTGGACTCTCCACGCAGTCCCTCCTACACCTTCCTGCCTTTCCCTGAGCCTCCTCTGGGTTTGCCAGCCTCTCAACTCTTCTCCCAGGCTGTGTCTACACTGGCAAGTTATTCCGGAAAATCAGCCGCTTTTCCAGAAAAACTTGCCAGCTGTCTACAGTGGCCGCTTGAATTTCCAGGAAAGCACTGACGGTCTAATGTAAAATCGTACGCGCTTTTCTGGAAAAACTATGCTGCATCCGTTCGGGCAAAAGTCTTTTTCTGGAAAACTGTTCCGGAAAAGGGCCAGTGTAGACAGCACAGTAGTGTTTTCTGCAAAAAAGCCCCAATCACGAAAATGACGACCGGGGCTTTTTTGCAGAAAACCGCGTCTAGATTGGCCACGGATGCTTTTCCGGAAAAAGTTCTTTTGCGGAAAAGCGTCCTGCCAATCTAGACGCGCTTTTCCAAAAACGCTTTTAACGGAAAACTTTTCCGTTAAAAGCATTTCCGGAAAATCATGCCAGTGTAGACGTAGCCCCAGAGTATAATTGTGGTCTACCTGTCTCTCTAGCCACACCCCTCCCAACACATCTTGCCTCTTCCAGGCAATTACTGCCCCCTCTCCTTCCAACTTCCTGTCTTTCCATAAGCCCTGCCTGCTCCCACACAGGTGATCTTCCCCAATTAGGGCTTTCCTCTCTGATTTAATTCTTATAGGGCGCCTCTACACAGCAAGGCAAAAGTCAAATTAAGATATGCAACTTCTGCTACGTCAGTTGCGTAGCTGAAGTCAAAATAGCTTAATTCAGCTTTTGGGGCTGTCTACATGGCAGGAAGTCAAAGGACAAACACTCTTCCTCTGACTTCCCTTCCTCCTCCTGAAATGAGGGTTACAGGAGTTGGAGTAAGAAGTCTGCCATCTCGAAATTATTTCGAAAGAACAGCTTCCCATGTAGATATGCCCTTTGTTATTCCAAAATAACACTGCTGGTTAGAAGTACCCTTATATTGCAGCCTTATTGGCTGATTTGTTCAGTCCAGCTTTTGTGAGGAGTACATCCCATAGCACGCCCCAACATAGCTCTCTACTTTTCTCCCCTGCTTACAACCTGTGGCATTTTCTCCAGTCCCTTCTTCTACCCATTCTCTGGTGGTTGTGCTCAGTGCTTCGCTTTAATGCTCTGTCTTTTACATCCTTCAGCTCTGCCAGCACTCATCAAAGAAGAACTGAAGAGCGAGACAGCTAGAGAGGGCGGAACAGCCACTCTGCGCTGTGCGTGGACCAAAGCCGCGCAAGTCGAGTGGATGAAAGGGGACAGTTTGCTCAAGCCGAGTGACAAATACAAAATGAGACAGGAGGGCCTTGTGGTTAAACTGCTTATCCATGATCTAGAACTGAAGGATGCCGGAGATTATACCTGTGTGTGTGGAGACCAAAAGACAACGGCTGGCTTGACAGTGCACGGTAAAACCAAAATTCCAAGTTCAATGACTCACCACCGCATCTGCGATTCCCTGTGCGCACATCTGTGTTTGGGCTTATGTTTTTATTTGGTAGCTAATTGTTTATATGTATTTATCATTTTTGTGTGTTTTCTGTGCACCGTGTTGCTTGTGTCACCCACACACCTACTGGGAGTGGGTCACTGTCCTGTGCAGAAACACTTAGACCACTTACAGAAGAACATAAGAATAAGTGAGCTCTACAGCCTAAGCTGAGAGCCAGCTGGCTTTATAGCTCAAGCTGTAGAGACTCCTGCACTGAGGTCCCAGGTTCTATTCCACCTGCAGGCAGGTACACTTATCTTATTCCTTCATGTTCCATTGTGTGCAGTAATTGTCCTCAACTGTTGCGTGAGGCAAGGAAGCTGGTTGCAAGCTGAAGAGTTCTCGGCTTCCTTTGTTCATGCTGCTTTTTTTGTTTCCTCTTTACAAAGTCATTCTCCTACCCCCCTGCATTCCCCTCCAGTCCCACCTGCCATCTGGCACTTACGATGTTCAATGGTCTGTCCATCCATTCTGTGACCCGCAGCCCTGCCTGCACTTTTCAAAGAAGAACTGAAGAACTTGGAAGCCACAGAAGGCAAAACAGCCACTCTGCACTGTGAGCTGAGCAAGCCTGCTTCCGTGGAGTGGAAGAAAGGGCACAAGATACTCCAGGCGAGTGACAAATACAGCATGAGACAGGAGGGTGTTGCCGCCGAACTGGGGATCCATGATCTAGGTCTGCAGGATGCCGGAGATTACACGTGCATGTGTGGCGACCGGCAGACCACAGCTACGTTGATAGTAAATGGTAATTAATGTATTCCACATGTGCGCTTACTGCTCTACTGTGCTGGGTCAGACGAAAGGTCCAGCTAGCTAGTGTCCAGTCTGCCAACAGTGGCCAATGCCAGGTGCCCCAGAGGGAGTGAACAGAACAGGGAATCATCAGATGATCCCTCCCCACTCACCCATTCCCAGCCTCTGACAAACAGAGGCTAGGGACACTGTTCCTGCCCATCCTGGCTAATAGCCATTGATGGACCCGTCCTCCATGAATTTATTTAGTACTTTTTTGAACCCTATTAAAATCCTGATCTTCACAACATCCTCTGGCAAGGAGTTCCACAGGTTGACTGTGTGCTGTGAGATCTGCTACCTATTAATTTAATTTGGTGACCCCTACGTCATTATTTAAAACTGCTACCTATTAATTTCATTTGGTGACCCCTACGTCATTATTTGTTCCTCAGAGGATTCATTTCCTGGGCTTTTATTTATTTGTGAGTAGCTGAAAAAAGGAGAATGTCTTGTTTCCATAGTACTTAGATCAGGGAGTTTGACAGAATTGCTGGGCCTCTTGGCAGGATGGTGGGACCTGTCTCCATGCTCTCAGAAGGGATGGAGCTAGGGCAGCCAGCTGTTCCCACTGCCTGGACTGCACTGCACCCCCCTGCCAGCTCTTCAGCTGCACCCGCAGCACACTGGTGCTAATTTAAAGGGTCTAGGAAGCTGCCTCTCTGGTTGACTTGCCTGACTTAGATGGCAGATTAAAAAGAAATTCAGTGTTCTCCAAGGTGGAGACTGGCTGGACTGAATGCAGATGTAGAGCAAGGCACATATTATACACACTTCCCCCATTTTTCATAACCCGCCTCAGACCAAGTGTGTGTGGAGCTCCCTCTGTGCAGTGACTGTCAAATGAACCTTATTTTCGAGTGTATAATGATATTGATCCCACTCTGAATGGCCAGGGTGAAATCCCCAAACTAGCCAGATCGGCCCCTAATGTTCTTGGCTCCAGCCACTCCACCCGATGGACTTTTCTCAGTTTTCATGCCTTGTCTGTTTACCTCACATCCCCCAGCCCTGCCTGTGCTTTTCAAGGAAGCGCTGAAGAGCGAGGAAGTTACGGAAGGTGGAGCTGTCACTCTGCGCTGCCAACTGACCAAAGCTGCTCCCGTGCTGTGGAAAACAGGGCACCGCGTGCTCCGAGCAAGTGACAAGTACAAAATGAGCCAGCAGGGGGCCTTTGTGGAGTTGGTGATTCATGATGTAGAAGTGGAGGATGCTGGAGATTATACCTGTGTCTCCGGGGAGGAGAAGACAACGGCTGCTTTAATAGTACATGGTAAAAAAAAAGCTCTGTCAATAATCAATAGCTAATTTTCTAATATCACTCCTGACCCTCTGCATTGTCAGCCCCTGGAATCATGTCGTGAGCTTGATATTACTTGACCATTTCTCTGTCGCTTTTTCCATCCTATCTGCTATTCATTTCTTTCTAGGGGATAAATTCCTAGTTGAGGGTCAAAATCATAGAATCCTAGAACACTAGAACTGGAAGGGACGTCGAGAGGTCATCGAGTCCAGTCCCCTGCCCTCACGGCAGGACCAAGCACCGTCTAGATCATCCCTGATAGAAGATGATCTAACCTGCTCTTAAATATCTCCAGTGATGGAGATTCCACAACCCCCCTAGGCAATTTATTCCAGTGTTTAACCATCCTGACAGGAAGTTTTTCCTGATGTCCAGCCTAAACCTCTCTTGCTGCAATTTAAGCCCATTGTTTCTTGTCCTATCCTCATAGGCCAAGGAGAACAATTTTTCTCCCTCCTCCTTGTAACACCCTATTAGGTACTTGAAAGCTTGCCATCATGTCCCCTGTCAGTCTTCTCTTTTCTAAACTTAAACCCAATTCTTTCAGCCTTCCCTTCCTGGGCTTTGCTAGCTCACTCCTCAAAAAGGAGAAGGTGAAGGAAGTTTCTTTCAATTTTTCTCAAGTTCTTTCAACTTATGTATTGTTACCATTTCTCCCCCACCCCCATTTCGTCAGATGAGCCTCGCCAACTGGGATTCTTCTGTCAGTGTTTTCACCTGCTCTGTTGTGCCCACAGCTCTACCCGCACTTTTCAAAGAAGAACTGAGGAGCAAAGAAGCTGCAGAAGGTGAAGGGGCCACTCTGCGCTGTGAGCTGACTAAGGCCGCTCCGGTGGAATGGAAGAAAGGGCACCAGGTGCTGAAAGCCAGCGAGAAATATCACATGAGACTGGAAGGTGCCGTTGCAGAGCTGGTGATCCGTGAGGTAGCTGAGAAGGATGCAGGAGATTATACCTGTGTGTGTGGAGACCAGCAGACCACCGCTACCTTAACAGTACATGGTAAAAAGTCAGCTCATAACGCAATCAGTGGTTTATTCTTGTTTTATTCTGCTTCCTCCTGAGAAACAAATTTGGCTATAAATCCTTGCTCTGCATCCACATTTCCTTTATCCACCTCATTCACAGTAACTCCTTTTGTTTGGAATAACATTCCTTGGCTCTGAAGAAATGGAGGCAGTTTACGCAAAAGACCCTATCCAATCCCACCTTGCTTTATCTGACACAACCTACGGCTCCTTTTCTTCCCTGAAGCATGGATTTTTCCTTACCTCTGATGACTCCTTTTCTTCTTTTCCCTGTCCTCCTTCCTGAATTAACACTTGTTATGCATGAGGCAGATTTAGCAGAAATTTGCGCTTCGGTTCTTTTTCTCATAGACGTTATTTGTGTTGCACATGGATGTTTTTATTTTGCAGTATGATTTCTGAGGAGATAAGTGAGAAGCCAATACATCCTGGTCATATTTTAGAGGTTTTCCGTGTGCCCCCATTTAAAATGAGAAGCGTGTGATTTATGTTTGCTGTCTGGTTGCTTTTATTATTCTAGTTTGTAAGTTGTCAGAAAACAAATCGGTGCCCCAGCATTCAAGAGCTCATTTCCCTATGGCTAGGATAATATTACATCTACCAGCATGAATTGTGAATTCCAATACCATAAGTCCCACGTCTCAGTTGTAAAGTTCTTGTCAGCAATAAGGCACTGACAATAAATGGACCCTGGACAGAGCCATGTTATTCATCATGGACAGTAAGTGAAAACGTGGTCAAACAGTAGCAGGAGCTGTTTTCCTTCAAGGTTCGGTGTGTCCGTCCTGTGAGAGCAGATGTTAGGACAAGATCTGTGAGCAATGTCTGACTGGAAATATCATGAAAAAGGAGGAGAAATTAAGATTCAAACACTGGAATTTTGATGCCCGCTTTGTTCATGTTGCTTCCCTCAGCCTTGCCGGCACGTTTTAAAGAAGAACTAAAGAAGGAGGAAGCCACCGAAGGTGGGAATGCCATTCTGCACTGTGAGCTGACCAAGGCTGCTCCGGTGGAGTGGAAGAAGGGGCACCAGGTGCTAAAAGCCAGCGAGAAATATCACATGAGACTGGAAGGGGCCGTTGCAGAGCTGGTGATCCGTGAGGTGGCTGAGAAGGATGCAGGAGATTATACCTGTGTGTGTGGAGAACATCAGACCACGGCTGCTTTAACAGTACATGGTAAAATATTTTGTCATAAACTCTGTCTAATTTTTCTTATCACCTGCTTGCTTGGGAGTATAACTTGGCCCGTGTCCACATTTCCTTTATCTGCTCGGTCTGTCTCATTCATAGCAGTTCCAGTTTTTTAGAATAGCATTTTCCTTTGCTTTGATAAACTGGAGGTTACCTGTACAGAAACATCCCATTCTTCATCATCACGTACTAGCTAATGCATCTGCTTTCTGCCTTTTCCTTTCCTAAAACACATCTCTGGCCATTCTTA